ACGACGTAAATACACGGACATTACAAAAATTATTTACAATTGTAAAGTTAGATGTATTTGATATCCTTATGACATGCATGAAAAACAGTTTCGAATAAATAAACTTGACCGTATAAACGATATTAATCATTTAGAAGTTGGATGTTACACTTTGTATGTATTTCCAACAGGAACGATAATAAATGCCTGAAATTACGGTTCTATGATATTCTCCAGTTGCTCTTGCAGATACATTTGATAAGCCTCGGTTTACGTATATTCGATTTCCTCAGTTGCTCCACCTCGACATCCTCCTCCTGGCCTGTTCTGCTTTTTCATCTTTTTTATTTCGACATCGAATTTCACTTTGCTGTGCCCCATAAACTGGATTTAATAAGGACATAAAGCATTGAGCGTTTTAACAATGTAAATGAAGCGAATTTGGTAAATGATCGATCGAATTATACCTCAAGATTAAATCAGAATTAAGAGTGATTGTGCAATTTGAACGACGCCTGGTAGATCGTTTTCGTAATTTGTTTCGAAACTTGATTTGCGTGCATAGTCGTAACAAGATTGAATTTGACCTTGATTGCTAAACTTCTATAGGTTACACGAAGCCTTCTCTCTCTTTCTCCTTCTCCCTCTTCACCTCGGTCATGGTCAAGGGAGGCAGCTCTAAGGGTAGGACCACCCGGTTTCATGTCCTAATCTCTTATGCTTGTAGTTACTTGCCGTTGTTATTGTATTATCTGAAAGCAGAATATCATTTCTTTTTTTCGTATCTTTAAGTAATATTATCACAAACAAAGATTTATGCCATGTTACGATAGCAACGCATGATTAAAAAACATGAAAGATACTTTCCAATCAGCGAAACATAGCACTTGACGTTTGTATCGTACAGTATTAATAATTCAGCTGGAAGTGGATATGAATGAAAAATAAACGGTGGATTATCGACCAAGATGTGTTACGTAATGGCACCGTTAAATGGAATAGAGGAAAGAATCCTTTCAAAGAAAATGCTTTAAAAACTTCGTCTTCGGCATTAGCGAAGCTTTTATAAATTTCGTTAATCACGAAATATAAAATACAAATTTCGCATAAGGTGAAGAAAATATGTCGCATGAAATATTATCAAACCTTTGCACGACAAAATATTATCTTCGTCTGCAAAATATTTACGAGTTTACGAAAATTATCTTTCCAATCGCGAAAGTATTCTAGAGATATATTAACTAGTAAATTCGGTAGCGCTGTTACATAACATCGTTGGCACATGGATTTTGGGAGGGTCAAAAGGTGTCAGACGGGTAATAACGGCGGAGAAAAGAGAAGAGGAGTAGCTATTTTAAAAGACAGTGCGTTATTTCGCCCCCGATGGTGGCGACTCGAGTATAAAATTGGCATAAAATCGTTTGCCACGATGAAAGCAAAATGGAGTAGAAGAGAACCGGAGAGAAGCACCAGCTTCTACCATGTTTTATTCTAGCAAATAAACGTGATGAACATTTGTCGATTCGACATATAACGCTTTTCCATATTGCATAATACCGACTGCGTATAGTTGAGAAGTAATGGAAGAAAACGTTTGCCTCGTATTCGAGTTAAAACGGAATGGTCAAACGCAGCGATGTAAGAAAGGAAAGGCTTGCGATTCCGAGGCAAGGCGATAAGTGCCGGTTGCTAGTTACGAGAGAAAGAGGAAGGTTTGCGTGGAAGTGAGAGAAGTCGAAGAAACGGAGAGACACGGTCGACCGTCGAGCAGACGTGAGTAGAGCTCGATCAGCTGGGAACGGGCCGATGTTGCCACGTTTCTCCTCATGACCCCTGGCTGGCGACCATGTCGGCTTCGTGGATCAATATTACCGAGATATGGCAACCTCGCAGCTATCCAACTCTTTATTTATACGTGTCGGTCAGACCGCGCAGGCCCGCTGCGATCCTTCCTTTGGTCGCTTTTGTCCTTCGTCGCTTTCGTCCCCTTGGCCTTTACAAGTTTACCACGATTCTGATATTTTTGAAAGGTTAATTCGTCTGGTTGCGAACATACGCAAATTCAGAATGCCAGATAAATAGGCTAAAAACAATAATCGTTCACATTCGATAGCGGACTCTGTAGCTAGCATTATATTTTACTGTGTATAAATATTTTTAGAACTGGTGGATATAGATCGGGGCGATCAGGGACGTACGAATACCAAGTGCAATGTGCTCTAACATAGAGTCTGAATGAATGCTGTGTCGTTCAACTTTTAGTCGCTCACGGACGTTTCGTAGCACAGATATTACGTATTATCGGGATGGATATCATTTTCATCTGAAAAAGTCACCATTGTTGCTAACGTGCTTAAGAAATTTTGAATGTTATCTTATCTTTGTAATGTCTCTCTTGATAACAGGGAACCACTTTGTAAAAGTTTAGATAGCTTTCTATTTATTAAAGATTAATTTTTAACTCATGATAATTCAATTTTTAAACGTTGTTTAAAAATATGTTCATATTTCTATGTTAAAGAAACATAAAATACTGCAGGAATACGTTTGATATATATCTGATATGTTTGAAATACTCATAAAAATATATCGGACTTTACCTGTCTTATATATCATTTAACAAGCCGTTTTTGTTCCAGCGGTGCTTTTGCTAAAATTTCCACAGTAGATTGCACGAGAAGCAAGAGACTCGCTAATTACTCCCGTACTAAGCGTACCCTTCTTCCACTTCACTTTCCTGGTCCTCTCGTCTCGACATGCTCGTTCTTGCTAACGCTGCATCAGCAATTCGGTAAAATTAATTGCTAATTAAGCTTCCGTCTTACTTTACTAATAATCATAATCGATGTAGAACATCCGAGGCATTAAAAATAATTCCAAAAGAAATTCCTTTTCTTATGAAAAATGTTTATAAGTTACCTATAGATAATTTATCATATATTCATTTATTTTCTGTTGTAGCGTTATGCTAGGTATTCGAGATGATTCTTGAAATCCAGTGGGAGTTCTTTCCACCTTCTGACAAATTGTTTCTCTCTGCGTGAGTTCTCACGCTCATGCCTCCCGTTGCCATTTTATTTCCTGATCGTGCGCCGTGCGCAGACTAACAATAGCACGAACTTTGCGATTAGAAATTTTATACAAACGGTTTCCGCACATTCACTGTGAGCCGCCAAAGGTCGTTATACCCAGTCCCTCTCTACCTCTGCTTGTTCAATTCTACATCCGCCACCTCTGCAACTTGTATTCTAATACGCCAGTTTCGTGCTTGTCCACTCATCTGACTCTCTTGTCGATCGACACGTGTATACGCATACTTCTCTGCTGCCGAGTGGCCTAGTTTATTTTTTTTTGAAAAAATGGGCCACTTGGATACGAGAAAAAAAGCTAGGTAGCTAAATTGGAATCACCCAAGATACATCTGGAATCGAGTGATAGAATCTAAAGAAATATGAAACGAGCAAAAATAGTCCTGAATTTAATTCCAAGAATATACCATATTTAACATACCTAACTTTTTCTTCCTACGAAACAATCTGCTGCTTTCAGTGTTCAGTGTGTACAACCATCCACCCACGTGTTACCGTAGGCTTGAAATGCTCGCTTATGGCGCAGAGTTGTGAATGTTTTGCTGCCTATTTATGGTTATACACAATGTACGTTATTACGATCCAGAATGCACAATGGATATTCGCAATTTGAACTTTGGACATTATATAAATTAGCACGATACCAGATTGTAATTATAGCTGTTGAAAAAATCTGTAATCGTTTAACTCCAGGTACATGTAACTTCCAGAAAAACTCAAAAATTTTGAACATTACATAACGGTTGTATCGTCTTTACAAAATAGAAGCTTATACTGAATTGAACCAAAACAATTCTGTCGGATACGTGGCTGTAGTTATTTCAGAAAATGATTAAATTCTTTTTCATGTCATCAGCCACATGATTGAAATGAACTCAAGGTCATTCATATACATTCGCAGTTGTATAAAATTTAGCTTGCTATATGACTTCTCATTGCATTTGAATAAAAAGTGACAATTTAGTTTAAAATGTTTCTTTATATTCCTAAAAAAAAGAAAGAAAAAAAGAAAATTGTGTAAATAAAAGGTACAAAAGTAGATAATCTTATACATATGTTACCAAATGAAATATAAATATAAATACCAAATGCATACATTTGAAATGGTAAAATTCGCAGGAAAGTTGCTGCTCCACCTATCCGATTTCTTTTGGTTTTGCAATTTGAGCATACATTGTAATGTGGACGTGGCAACGATGCAGGCAATTGAGAACGCGAGGACATACCTTCGCCTCGCGTTGCATCCACATATGTCACACGAAAAGGAAGAAAAAGGAAAGGTTCCTTGGCCATTAATGTTTTACATCTCTCCATTTTTCCATTTAGTGCTTATTCAATGTCTATCTCTGATCGTTTACGATGTACATCGTCTATAACTCGGATTGAGATCCACCGAATCATACAGTAGAACGTTTAAGTCGTATAAAGAAACGAAATGAGAGTATTATGACGGTCAGAGCGCATAATCTTGATTTAGAATATGTTTGAAACATAGTACGTGTTCTTGTTTACCAACTGTGACGTTGGTAAGTTGATTTTTCAACTGGCTGCTATATTAACTATTATCGTGCATGTTTCTGCAATGTAACATCATATATTTCATGGATGAATGCCTGTACTTGTCCAAATAAATTGGACATGTAAAATAATACAGGTCAGGAATACGATCGATGTACACTTCCTGCTCAATTACTCTTGCGCACGTGCAACGAAACAATAGAAGACGCAAATCAATCTTTATATTCTCTTTGCATTGTTACTATCGGCACATGTGTTATCTGGCGAGCAAATTTGTTGGGAATTAGTATCATCGGTAAACACGAATCTTCATTGTGGTCTTATTGAACGTCTCGTCTTGCGAGAATCAAAGATTGTTTATTGACCGAAGGAATATAACCTACTTGTCTTTGTTTCTTTGTTGACAGCACTTAACTGACTTGTTGACTCGTCGCGTTTACAGCGGCGAGAATACGTAGTTGTCAATATCGCAAATATGCTTTTAGCGATTTAGAATTGCGTTCATTAACATTTCTGCAATTTCTGATAAGACGTATTAATAACTAATAGAAATTAATATACAATAGCAATGCAATGTCAATGATCAAGTCTCAGATTTTGATAGTGTAAACGAAATTTGATAGAAAAATATGGGTCGTGTAAAAGATGTCGTCATTACATACTGGGAAAAAAACATGGCGTCGATTTCACTTGAAAATCTGAAAAAGAATTGTTTCATATATATAAAAATGGCGTTGCGCCAACTGTATGTTTTCAATGAAATTTAATAAAGTACCGGTATAAGTACGAATTTATCGTTATCGAATAATTATTAGCTATAAATATTTCAATCCAGTATAACTTACGAAATGAATGTGTATGTGTATATGTATATATACATGTATATATACATATACATATGTACACTCACACACAAATAAATAAATATAAACATATAAATAAATACACACACAACACGCACACACACCTATGTATATATGTGACGTTTATATAGAATATCAGGGTTTTTTTAAATTAGCCTTTATACTACGATAGTAACGGATTTGTTGTGCGTTTTCGATATACTCGAAAGTTCAGAAATTTCTAGAAATTTATTACAACGTATTACGTTCTACGCAAAAAACTAGCTAAACGAATTTATAATCCTTTAAATCTCAATGAATATGTAGATACACCTTTTGGCCGTATGCGGGAAATATCTTTAGATGATGCAATGGCGTCGTTTGCTGATGTGGCAAGCAAGCCTGGAAACGTTTAGCTTCGAAGCCGTTGAAACAACGTACGTGACCAGAATGGCGATGCAAATGGCGAGCGGCTCGTTGTGGCGACATCTACCGGAGCCGCTTTCGTTAGATCTTTTTGCAGTACCATGTCGCACCGAGCGGTGTCGCTACGATGCTAAACCAGAATCTATCAGGATCGTAACAATAGTTTAAATTTTGAATTAAAAAGAAAAAAAAAGATAACAAACGGTATAAAAATGTTTAGATACAATATTTTGTTTCTTTATATAACGTGTAATTACCTATAAAATTATGTTTACATGCCTTGACATCACAACTTTGAACTCAAATTTGAACTATTAAAAGATTTTAACGTAATGTATTTTTATTTGTTAGTGTGCAGATTTTGTAAAGGCTGGAGCAGAGCAAGGTTTAACGCCATCCGACGTGGTGCTCGCTGCAGATATTACATTCTCTTGCGTGGCTGATCCTCAAGCTGCCAAGGATGTGAGTAACAGCGTAATTTCGTTGAAATTATCTTAGGCAAGACTTTTTAAGATTACGATGAATGTAAAAATTATGAATCGTTTTGTAGATGGTGTTTGGAAACTGCGGGGTTCTTACAGAAATATCGCCGGAGAAAGGATACGTTGAGATGACAGGTATAGATGCAGAAACTTCGCAAGATATTGCCGAGGCAATAACTGCGAAAGGTGGCCGTTATTTGGAGGCCCAGGTACAGGGTAGCAAAACACAGGCGCAGGAGGGTACACTAGTGATCCTTGCGGCTGGTGATCGAACTTTATTCGACGAATGTCAATCTTGCTTTGAAGCAATGGGGAAAAATAGTTTTTATCTCGGCGAGGTCGGCAATGCATCGAAAATGAATCTCGTGCTTCAGTTGATGGCCGGTGTGACTCTTGCTGGTTTAGCGGAGAGCATGGCTTTAGCTGATAGAGCAGGTCTTCAACAAAAGGACGTACTCGAGGTTCTGGAATTAACATCATTGGCTTGTCCTGCCATTTTGGACAAAGGAAAAGGTATTACATTCTTCTTTTCTCCATCGAGTATGATAATTGCGATTTAGATTTAATTACATCGCATCGATAACACGGTTTAACTTTTCAGCCATCATCGAGGGTGGTTTTCCAACACAGTTACCACTTCAACACATGCAAAAAGACTTAAGACTTTCTTTAGGTATGAGCGATCAATTAGAACAGCCATTACCGCTAGCTGCAGCGGCGAACGAAGTTTACAAACACGCTAAACGCCTTGGTTACGGTGAACACGATGCCTCCGCTGTTTACATCAGAGCCAGGTTCTAACGGAGCATGCATCGTCAAGCTTTTGCTATACCATATTTATTGCAATATCTAACGTTGTTTCCCGTCGCTACCAGAGAAGAGTAGTGCGCTATTTGTCGAAGAAATAGTGGAGAACCACTATGAATCGTTAAAAATGATGCACCGTGATATTTCGTAGCATTGTATAATTATCAAAATAGAAGATTTTATTACTTCTAAAACCAATGCAATCTCGAATCCGATGGATTCGAATGCGCATAGTAAGCGGTAAAAACGATGTATACAGGCCTCATCGTTCATTTAATGCGATGAATATGTAAACTGTAAATGTGTATGTACTTTCTTTTTTACACGTTTTTTTCAAGAAAACACTTTGTGTATACATTGGCGAATGATCTTCCTTTTTTTTTTTTTCGTTCAATTGTAACGCATGGCGACTACTTTTCTCGATAACAGCGTGGATCTTGAATAGTCGATCTCTCGAGTCGCTTTCGGACTTCGATCCCGTAAAACACACCCCTCGCTTAAAAACTTTAGAGACTTGGGACGTGTCGAAAATGTGCCTTACGATATTATTTGAAGCAAGGCTTTTTAATTTTTTTTTTTTTTTTTTTTTATTAGGCTGCACGACGAATACTTTGACCATTTTTTAAGCAAGTAGATACAACTGAAATCAGTTTTCATGCTAACAATTAACGGGACGATGTATAAGAGAACGACAGTTGTTAGAAATAAAGAAATGACAAAGATAGATTATACGCTTTATTGGTGCAATTATAAGATAGAATTCAGCGGAACAATGTTCTCGGTCTTGTAAAGAAATTCTGGCAGTATTTTAGAAGCGTCCATTGAATGGAACGAACAGATGACGGAAAATGGTGACCAGCATTTTCTTACGGTTTTTCCTTCAAACGTTTATTCTACTTCGATGTCGAAAGGAAACTTATACATTTTATTGTTTCGCGCATACAACGACAAATTGTAAAAGATTATTTATAAATGTTTATCACTCTCTCGCGACGCGAGCGCACACAGAAAAGCGAAGAAGAACGTACTGGCCAATTTTCCTCGTCGAAGTTATTCGTCCTGGGAAACTTCTGATATATCGCTGCGAAAATTTCAGATTTGACTAGCAATTAGAGATGTTTCTGCGCATAGCGCAACTTCTGTTTTTTGTTTTTGTCGACGTGGCTGTTAAGGCATTATGCCGAAAACAGCGCGAGATTATTCTATCTTAGCGTCATTATAAAAAGTGAAAACAAATAAGAAAATACTAAGTGTTGATTAGTATATACGTACGTTATGATATATAGAAGAGGCTTTCCGGACCTAACGAGTGTCCCTTTAATCATTAACTGTTAAGATAAATCGATCTTAACTGATAAGGTCAAGGATATGAAACGTAGATTTGCATTAAATGTTGGCATGGTGCAGGGCGTGGTAAATACTTACATTTCGAGCGATGCATAATTGTATATGATTCTTTTTATCCACGACTATCTCGATAAATCGCATTGGACGATTAGAAGAATATTTTATATTGCTGCAACTATCACAAAATTCCTTATTTGACGCGACAGGTACAAAAGAAGAAAAAAGGGGGAAAAAAAAGAGAACAATTCGATCAGCTACTGATACGAAAATCTGTTCATTGTTCACGATTTTCTACTGACTTTCATAATTGATGGTATCACGTGTTCAACGAACATGGCCGTCGGAACGGTTCTCGAAATAATTTTCGCAATTACGTGCCGCGATTCTCTCTCGTGTGCACGTAAGATGATTTTACGAAAAGGAAGTAAGGGAATCGTTTTGACGAGGAGGGAAGTGAGCGGCGCTTCCGTTTCCCAGGACGGTCGTACGAGTCTCACAAGTAACACGTGACGAAGTCGAGGGCGACCGAAAGGTTGCCAATTTGTTTCGGAGCCAATCATACGAGGTTGCCTTTACTAGTAACGAGAAATCGACAAGTTTCTCTTTCTCATCCATAGAAGTGAGAAAATAGTTCTACTCGCAAACTTTCGCCCGCTAAAGATCGGTAAATATTTTTCTAGAAGTAATTTAATGTTAACGAAATGTTCGCTAGAAACGACCATACAGCAGACTATATTGATTTTACCAATAAATCGATACGTGTGCTCTAATAATCTTTCGTGCGATTTCTTTTACCAATTATAAAGGGAAACTCGTGTTATTCGCTCGTTTATGAAAACAAACTCTTGGGTGCGTGGGAAATTACGTACCGCATAGCTAACAGTGGCTAAGCGCCCATATCACATACTGTATATGTAATTAGACTATCGATAGTTCTAACGTTACAATAATACATCGTATACGTAGTGTCATGGAATTGTTCCACAATAATGTAACCGTGTTCCGGCAAAGGTTCCTCGCGAAATCACCGTGCAATGCGTGACAAGGGTGTATTATCGATGTACCGATATTTTAGATTGTATTACATCCGTTGCTCTCCAAGAGCAATGGCTTTTTAATTATGTGTTCATTGCAAATAGTTGTACGTATCGTTTAAAAAGTGCAGTGTTACACGCGACGTTATATCACGACATACGGAATATCATAGAAATTAAGAAATACAGCTGTGTATTTATTTATTTATTTTGTATATTTTGGTATGCGAGTTACGAATTATCGACGCAAGACGAACGGTACAGCCAATGTAATACGAATTGTTGAACGGCTGATGCCCAAATAATTGTACGCGTATCTTTTACGCATCGCGCGGTAATTCAGATTGAATCTTTGCTGCCACACGTTTGCGTTATTCTCGTTAGAACCGATTCAACGATACTACGTGTACACGTATGAGATAAAAGAAAAATGATGGATAAATAGAAAAAAATATTAAATATTCTATAAGCAAACATAAAGAAAAATATATATACATATAGCTAGTAAAGAGTATAAATCACAGAGAGGGAGGAATTCGTATGAGTGCGACTGGGTGAGTGTGAATACGTCATGAGCATTGCGTCAGTAACTGACGTTATATGTTTTGCCACGAAATACACTGGTTTTTGAATAAATATCTATTTGAATTACGAACATTCGTATTGAACGACCAATCCGAGCATCGAGGTGCATTTTTCCATTCGAGTTCCCCTTGTCCATCTCTCTGACCACGACCCGAATAATTTCGAGGCATCTAAAAATCGAATTTCTCCGAAGAGTTAACAGCGCACGACGAGTACTCGAATAATAATGGATCGGTTATCTAGTGATTTTCGCGTTACGTAACGTTTAAAACTATTAACGAGTAACCGATACTGGAGCAGCAGGTTTGCAGTCGCGTACGGAATGCTTAAACGACGAGTTGTTAATGGTGGCCATTAATTCTAAAAGCTATAGCCCAATTTGAAAAACTCGTGGATATCGTTTAAAAGAAGCGATGCAAAGCACGTGCCGCCGTTCGCCGAGTTCATAGGCGCCGTGAGTAGAGCAAATGATATTGCATGATTATAGAGGAAGCCGGGTGGTGTGCGCACGCGTCTCCTTCGCCACGGTTAGACGTGTGCGTGAAAGTAAGAAACGAGAGTGGGGATCGAAGGCGGGTGAGGAAGCTTGGTGGGGGCAGAGGGGTGGAGCAGCCGCCGTCTGATGACACCTGTGGCTCGACCCCCACGATCAGTTCAGCCGCGACCGTCCACGCGCCGTCTTGTTGCGACGTTTTTGCACAGCCACCACTCCACTTTCACATGTACGCATACACGCATACACACATCCATACGTCTATCAACGCATACTCGCACGCGCGATTCACGTGTATATAAGTATGCATACAAACGCCAGTAGTCGCACACGTGCAAACGGGTAATTTTTACCCTTTACCACGTGACAGACCGTCGTGCGCATCTGCCATTATCGTGAGCGAACTGTCATTGTGCTCTCTTTCGTTCGAGATAGGAAAGAAGAGGAACGCAAGGAGCAATAGTTCTTCCCAGTATGTACCATGGATGTTGTGCTACTCGACGATCGGCACTTTACAAGTATTCTTTTTCCCCATATCGACCAGCCTTCTGTTCACGTACGCCGTTGACAACTGCGGCCAGCTCCCTCTACCCGTTTCAAGCAAAGCTTTTACGTTTGATTCTGGTGTTGATGGATGCTTGATACGATTGACGCCTATGTAGATCCTAGGAACAAGGTCGTCGATGTAGAGCGTTACTTTCTAGACAATCGAGTACTTTGATCATTGAAATAACGTACATCGCAGTTGTCATATATCTTTCAGGAATCGTGAAACTATCGCGTTCCGTGCGTTACGAATAATTCATAGCGCGTTTACGTTTTAACCGTATGTGAGACTGGTATCTGCGTTTCTCGTAATATTTAAGTAGTTGTTGACGTCGGTAATGTCGATACGTTACAAACGAACGCGAACAAAGCATCGTTAAGCACGATTGGAGAGAACGTTCGCAAATAACGGTCGTTTTCTTGGTAGTGTTTCTTGGCACGATCTTGTGAACGACCTTATTCCTAGGGAATGATCCGTGGTGTTGCGACTGTGCACAAGAAAACAGAACGTGGCCTGTATGCCCGGCAATGCGAAACGAAGGAGGCGGAGGGGCATGTTTCTCGCGCGTGTATTCGCAACGTATGTCGCACAGTTCACGGAAGCGAAAGATTCCAGAATTTGTTCTTACGACTGCGCGTATTCTTGTGTACGTAACAGTGAAGTGTGCAATAACCGTTTAACGAAGTTCATCCTCCTGCGTAATTTCGACGTCAAAATTCCTTCCCTTTCATTCGAAAAATCCAGGAGATGAGCTGATACGTTTGTAAGTACTCGGTATCGTCCAACTCGTCTTTTTATTCCGACGGATTGAAATTGCGTCGTTGACGTTTCGGAATTTTTACTCTTTGCTCGAGAAAAGAACGCGAGACAAATAAGTAAAAACGAGAAATCAGAAGGAAACAGAAAGACGATAACTAACCAAAAAAAAAATTCATAGCAGATTAAATGAAATTTTTTACCAGATATTCGTAAATACACGTATATCTTTTCCCACCAGATGCTCGGCTTGTCGCTAAAGCTGATCATCGCTTAGACGTGCATCGAGTTTGAAAAATAGCTCGTGTCGTCCGCGGCGCTATCTCTCGGTTTCTCTTTCTCCCTTGATCGCTCTTTCTCTCTTTGTCGGCCGGTAAATAAGACGCGTGCTGTATCTGCACGTATCAAGTGCACATGTGTGGGATAAATAAGCGAAACCGTGTTGCGCGTACAATAGCCGGTAAAGTATTGGTATCTACACACCTTAGGACAGGGATCCGACAAATATAGACACTCGTGAAGTTAGTGTACGTGCACTCACACCAGGTGGACGATCGTCGAAAAGGAGGTGAAGGGGAAACGGGAGGGAGAGATGATAGAGGAAATAGCGTGGACAGATTCCATTTGTGCTCGACAAAACCTTCGTATTTTAAGTAGGAATTTTACGTAGCTTCTCGTTAAAGCCTCGTCATCTATCGATCTCGTTGTCTCTTTTTAATTACTATACGTATCTACCAGAAAAATTTGTACTTACTATCTCGAATGCGCGTATACGTGAACGCAGGCACGCGTACGTAAAAAGAATTCGTGCGAGTTTACAAAACAGCGCGAAGCATAAATTCGTTGGTCGCCCGCTATATCGGCGAAATAATTTCCGCTTCTCGATAATAAATTCAAACGCGTTGCAGATATATATGTAAATGAATAAGAAGGAGTCGAGACGCTGGCAAACGACGCATCATCTATTCGGTTACACGAAGTAGCAAATAATGGCATTTTCTTTGGTGTGAGTGCAATCATGTTTGCATCGCCGGGACGCCGGGTGGGGATGGGCATGTTGAGTTAGGAGGATCAGCAGGCGCGTGGTGGGGGAAATAGCATGGACAGGTTGCGTTCGTGCTAAGCCAAGTCTCGTCGCCTCGCATTCCGAGACGCGGATTCCGGAGCGGTTTTCTTTTAAGAAAGAGTAAGAGAAAGAGAGAAAGAGCTAGCGGGAGAGGAAAAGAGACAAAAAGAGAAAGAGAATGAAAGAGAAGTGGAACGCTTACGGTACTGATTTTCCAGTAAGCATTCGAGTCTCTAGTTCTTTTTTCGTTAGTAGACCAGGATAGTTGGTGAGGGCGCTTTTTCTGCTTCGATCAGCGCCGCGCACAAATACACCAACTATAAGGGTAGAACGTTCGTTGCACCTACAGCTGCTTATCGACTGGATCACGATCCCACTTAGCGTACGTCCTTGAATCGTGTAACGCTTTTACTCCTCGACTTTTCGCCTCGTTACCCATCCTTCAAAAACGTCTTAGTTCATAGGTGAAAAAAGCGTGCACCCATATTCTTTAAAACGTATCTCGATTAACGTGATTTTAAACCCATCGAAATGGAAGGGACGTTATCCCATTTTCCTTCAAAATTTTCATCTTTTTTGACGTTGAATTTCCGTATAATAAAAAATAGGGGAGAGACAGAAGAAATGAGTTATATTACAAGAACGAATTATTCGAAAATGTCAATGAATCGGCGAATAAATTATCTGCCCTTGTTATGCCGAATACTTTCGACTTGGACTGCCAGCGCGAACGGTACATCGGTTCGAAAAAGGACTGCGACCTGTTCGCGTGTTCCTACTGACCAGGGTATATTACGATTTAATATGCGATGGACGATGTTTGTTTTATAACGTCTCGGAGCTTTCGATAAAATTTTAGTGGTCGCAAATATTCTACATCACCTCGTACCGTTTGCGGAGGTGCAAATTATATTTCACGTTCGCCAAGACACAAATTATTTCTCAAGGTACGATCCTGAAGAGAAGATGATTCAGAAGTAAAAACAAAAAAATACGTCCTATTTGCCATTATGTCGACAATTTTAATGCGCATTTGATTCGCAGAGTCGTACAAGATACAGTGAAAGTGCATAGACGAGTCAGAACCTGTGAGAGAAAGGAATAATTATAGCTTATGACATACTGTTGCAACGGATGATTCCTCGTGTACAAAATAACACATTTCACGTGTACTTGATCGTTTGCATTGTATATCAACGCAAAAATTATATCTCTATAAATTTCTGTTTATGCGAGTCTTCTCTTAAAGTAGCGCCAAAAATATCGATACGTCATTATCATGCTCTTCCAATTATTCAGATACAATATTTAAACAAAAAGTTATATTTAAACTTTAATATCGTTCAAAAAAATATTTTTTAACCTATCGTAGCGGCGATTCTGTATTCGTAAGGCGTAAGGCACACGATTGCCTTTAATCGATAACCAAACTTTTCGGCGAAGAAATTGTTATTGTATTTCAAATTTAAAAAAAAAAAAAAAAAAAAAAAAAAAAAAAAAAAAAAAAAAAAAA